TGTTTGCTTCTATTACTTAACCCATGATTTAATACTACACATGCAGGTAGGAAGCTATTACAAAAGTAGTCCAAAGGCCTATGATAACCTTGGAAAAACAGCACTGCCGCTAGCGCTTTTTTTCTCCACGGCAATATTCCAGGTGGTATCGTATCAGAATTTCCTACAGCTACTTCCAAAGAGGAAACAGCTCTGAATATCTTCTAGTATCACAGGATCTTAAGTAGTATCTTCCCTTTTACAAAGAAAGAGCTACGCAAAATAGAAGCTGAACCAGCACCTCTGTAGGGAAGTGGCAGGAAGAAGGGGTTGGGAAAAGGTGTGCTTTCCCAGGGCTGGAGTCTGATGCTGACAGTCTAGATGCTGGAGTTTAAAATCTGTTTCTAGCCCTGAGGTACTGGTGGACATTGGGCAGATCACTGGACCTACCATCCAAAATAAGTTTTTTTAACCTTTTCTACTTTTCAAGGTGATTGAACTTAATCAAAGTACTTCGAGAACACCAAGTGAAAGGAGTTAGAAGAAATATCATTAACAGTAGGAAGCCTTGACAAATGAACTCCAGCTTTCACCATATACATTACTCTGAAAGAAGGTAATAACTTCGAGCTAAAAAGTTGACAAGGATATATCTTTGTCCCTTGTGAAGCACAGCTTTCTAGCAGCTTCATCCTTCTCCACATTACCAAGGCTTCTGTAACCTCATTTCAAAAACATAATAAAGGCACCCCAAATCCTCACACTTTTATAAAAACTGACAATGCAGGAAGCTTATAAAACAAAAAAAAAGTCATGCTGCAAAGATGGCACAGAAAAGTAATCAGTAATTGAATTCAAATTACAGCTCCCAGATCATGCAGCCTCCCTGACTCATCCAAGCCACTGTCTTTTATCAGAACTGCCAGCATCACTCTGAGACAGTGTGTAATAAAATATGGAAAATGTGTTCAAAATGTGTGACCTCACTGATGCAATGAGCTGACATGATAAGCACTTTCTTCTCACTGTGAAATGCTATGATGTGGTTGCATTAGCTTGGAAGCGGACATACTGCTGCTGCTACTGTCACTGCTTCTGCCATACCTGTTTTGTGTACAGAGGACTTCAGGGCTCAGGGGATACACACTCAGCCTCCTTCACCAGCACAAAATGCAAAGCTTCACTTCTCGCTGTAGTCCTGAGTAATATGGGATGGAATCACTCTTGTGCATCTGAAGTGCTGTGAGATAACACCCTTACATGTTCCTTCTGCCCTCATAGTGGGGCAAAAAACTGGTCCCCAAGAGTCAGACCTTTGCAGACGCAGGAACTTCCGCAGCACGGCTACTCCAATAAAATCAGATGACACTACTTTCATGCAACCCAGTTTTGTAGACACAGGTCTAGTTGTACCTGACACTGACCAAGTCTGAACCCTTGCGATTGCCACTGCAGCTTTAATGTCTCTGTGTTTGCCAAATAATAAATAAAGCTTTTCTGTTCTTTCCCCTACTTTAGTATAGAGTTTGGGTGCTAAAATAAAACCCGTTAAGCTGGCTACTGTTAGTCATTTGAATAGTACTACTGCACCTATGATTTTAGTTCAAAGCACTGCAATCTCTCTGCATTTCATGGCTGTAACATGGCATATTGCAGCATTTCTCCTAATGGCTCCAAAGCACTAATAATGCCTGCAGCACTAAGTAATGCTGCATCTAGTATCTGCAGCAGGAGAGAAACACAGAGTAATTCAGGTTGGAAAGGACATCTCTCCTAAGGCTTCTAGTCCAAACTGTGCTCAAAGCAGAACTAACTTTCTGCGGGGTATCAAGAATAATCACTTTCATCCACCATCACTGGGCAAGACAGAAATGAAATACTTATTTGTGTGGATTAAATGAAGCTTTTCTAAGAATTGATAGGGAATAAAATTACCAGCCAATGTAATAGGTTCCATGGCAAGGAACTGGTAATGAAAGGTTGGCCCTAGCACCTCATTGACACTTTCTGCTTTTCCAAAGATTGGATGTGCAAGGCATGCAGCTGATGTTTTTAAAGTCAAATTAAAGGGTAGGTAATTTCAGAGAGGGACTGATTTTTAAATATCATTGAGTTTTCTCCTAGTGCAAACTCTAGCTGAAGCCAACCAAAGTCACCGAGCTGCAGACTAGTTTGCAGCTCTTCTAGCCACTGGCTTTTGAACTGCTATGTTTGATTGACTGGCCAGAACAGAATAAGGCATAGTGGTTAACATGCCAGTGAGTCAATGGAAACACAGCTAAAATTGCAACTCTTAGCACTGGCAACATCAGTGGAATTATCTGGGTTGGAGCAATGGTGTGAAATGTTAGCGAAACAAGTCGCATGTAGCCGCAGCTTTGCTCCATGAACCAGGCAGCTGTGAACTGCAGAGCTGAATAGCATTACTCAGAAACAAAATTCATGTACGTACATTATTTTCTTTTCTTAACCTCTACAGGAATTTTCAAATCACAGTTCCTCCCACTCACAAATACCACCCTTCTCCAAGGTGACTAAAACCCATCATGTCCCTCCTGTAAGAAATTCTGCTCTCTTCTGTTTTCATTCAGTATCAGAATGAAGCATGAAATTTAATATTAAAAAAGTTCCCAGAAAGCACTGGATCCAGAAACACAGAACTCTAGATTTTCAGGCAGTCCCTGGTCAGGACATGTCTGCACTGCCATGACTGCTACAGGGAGCTGTAGTTCCACATCTCTCATGTTCACTATCTTCCCTGCACAGCTTTTTCCCCCAGCCAAACCACTTCTTGATCACAGTGCAGCACGGAAGTGCCACCCTATCCACTAACTGGGATCAGGCAGGGTAGACTGTATGTACGAAGTGACAACAGACACCTCGAAGCTTCACACACATGTCAAAGGGAGGCAAAGGAAGACTGTGTCCTACTCTCCATAGAGCCCTCCTCCCCCTTCTCATCCCCTCTCGCCCCTGATTTTGTGTGGGTTATATGAGGACTTCCTTCCAAGGAATGGTACTTAGAAAGGGTTATGTGAGGTGAGGATCATATATGTATGATAATGTGGTACTTCCTGCTAAAACGTCTTCCAGAATGCCTCTCAGGCAAATACAGCAGTGTGCAGTGCTCCCAGATGTTGACTACATGTCTAAGGAAGTAAGAGGGAAAAAACGTACGCTATTGAGTTAGCTGAAAAACTCATGCGAGATCGTGCAATTCAAGTCTGCACTCTGGTGCCCATCGGATAACTATGGGTTTTTTAATCTTAAATTTCCTCTCTCTTTAGACTTTGGCTACCTGTGTCCCCTACTGTTACCTAAGATCCAGGGGAGGGCAGCTCCAAGGAAAGGGCTGTTCTGTGTTGTCTCCATAGCCCTCTTCCCCAGGCATCTGGGGCTGCTACAGCTGGAGGTGAAGCACTGAGCTAGATCAGCAACTCTCAGCTGCCAGATTCATGTAGATCTGCACTGGCTGTGAGCATGGACAACTGAGATATTGCTGCACTGTGCTGCTGGCAAAGACCTCAACCCCCACTTACAGCTTTGTCAGACAAGGCTCTGCTACAAAAAAAGCCATTAGCTAAAGGCACAAAAGTACCTGGTTGATGAGGCTGAAGGCAGCTTTTGAGATCTGGGACTGGTTAGTAAAGGCACCCACCTCCTGGGACACTTATGCTCCTGCAAAGCAATGATGAGGGTTTGGAGATCCCTAGAGAAGAGCAAGTCCACCGTTACCCATCACAGATCTTCTTTCTGATAGTATCAGCAACAGAATAAAAGCTCATACTTTTTTTTTTTCTTTTGTGCATGGCCCAAATGGGGAAGAGAGTTAGTGAAAAGAGTGGAGGATAAACTTGCAGCAAGAAACAGTCCCTAGATCCTTTGCAGTGATTTCACTGGAACAGGGGGGGGATCTGAATCTGGACCTATTCCATGGGTCATGCATTTCACTAGTAATACAGCATAGGTGACATATGCACATATAGACTATGTTAGATTGACTTTGGACTGTCTTACTTATTAAAACATGCTCAAGTCCCATCATTTTCTACAGGTCAAGTACACAGTTAAGTAAAGCAAACCGCTCCACGCTCTCCTGAATAGGGTGGGTTCCTTATAAAGAAATTATCTGAGGATGTGGCATATAAACACATTTCCAAGTGGCAAGCCAGGTTTTGAATTTGCAGCACAGCAGTTCCTCAGCAGTAGCCCCATGTTTCTAGCCCATGATAAATGCAAGGTAGCTTAAAGGGCCTTGCTCAAAGATTGCAGTAGGCTATGGTTACACATGAAGCTTATCTCATCATAACTTGCTTATGTGCTTTATCCTCACATTAAAACATCTGCCAAGTCCACAGTTTTACAGTGCTCACACACAGTTGTAGCAAAATCAGTTCTGCATGGAAGAAGCCAATACCCTACTTCTCACGGTGGGCTGTTTCCATGCCAAGCCAGAGTCTCAGTCATTTGGGCTCCACCTCCCTTCTAACCAAACCAAACCGAAATGTCTAAAGGATTTTTTACAACAGCAGCAGTGAATTCCCCCACCTTGCCCAATTTCCTTCTTTCTAGGGACTGGCAGAATCATGTCACACATATTTAGGGAAAAGAGGGTGGGGACACACACATGATCGCATTTTGTTGCATGTTATTAACGATGGAAAATGGCAACTTCAACTAGAGCTTTAATTTCAAATAAAGTAGTTTTCAAACTTAACTGCTGTCTTGAGGATAAAAGTGGGGTGTCTGTGACAGTTGTACTACAATGTGTATCTTGCTCTATACAGTAGCTCTGCAGCAAGGGATCACAGGTGGTTTGTGGTGGTGGGAAGACCTTGCTCTTACGGTCTGCAGACTTACTGTACTTGCAGAATTCCACCTTAAAAGTAATTGGATGTGTCTGTAACTCAGAGAAGGTTTGCTAAGCAATGACACATTGCACTTGGATCTGGAAGCATAACATCTGGAAGCCAAATGTTAGAGGCGATATAAAAGGGCCAGCCCAACAAACCAGTGGGGCATTTCTAAGCCAGGAACATCCTCAGGATGGACCTTGTCCTTCTCTGTGTGTTCCTGCCTCTGGTGACCGTGGCATGGGGCCAGTACGGTGACTATTACTACGGTCCCTATAACTACGGAGATAATGATGAATGGGTCAATGTGTACCGCCAGGGTTTCAACTTCCAATGCCCACACGGGCAGGTGATCGTGGCTATCAGGAGTGTTTTCAACAAGAAGGAAGGCTCCGACAGACTGTGGAACTACGCCTGCATGCCGGCGGCCCAGAGCCTCGGTGAGCCGACAGAGTGCTGGTGGGAAGAGATCAACAGGGCGGGAACTGAATGGTAGGATACCCCCAACCATCCCTGGAGGGCACAGCCCTGATACCCCCTGTGGAATGCGGGTGCTAATACTGCGGTCAGAGCAATGCAAATGCATATAAATGCTGTCATAACCAGTGGCTTCACTGCCCTGAACGACTGCGTGAGACTCATTAATCACGATGCATGTGTGCGAGGTGATCAGCATCACATTTGCCTTCTCTGTAGCAATTTCTTGCTGGAGGGTCTCAATGTGCTTTAGAAATGCTGTGTCGTTTGGTCACTCACAACCTCAGCTGCAAAGTGTCTCGGTCTTGCTATTGCTGTTTCACAGATGAGGAAAATGAGGCATGAACCTTCAGTGAGGAGAGGATGAAGTCCCTCTTGAAAGGCCACACATTGAATCAGTGACTAAACTGAGGAACAAATTGTAAAATTCCTCACTCCGTGCTCCTGCTCTTACCACTAGAAAAAAAATTCTTCTCTGTATTGCACTGGCTTTTATCTTTGTGTTTTTGTTGCTAAGCTTTTTGGCTTAGGCCCAGTCAAAGGCTGTTTTCTTGTCATGCTGGTACTACAGGAGCCAAAAATCCACGCTAATGAGCGATGATGGTGGCACATATATGCATGATAATGATAGCAGATGATCATGTTAATTCCCTAATACAGTCAGTTTTGGTTAACTGAACATTACATTTTCCATCAGCCTTAGAGGCAAAGGTGATCACATTTTATGGCCACAATAATTTCTGGAAATATGAATAGTGTTTCATGTTTAGGCAGCACATACCCAGTATTTAATTATCTTCTGATTCTTTCATGAAATGTGAAACACAGTTTTGGAAAACTCTGAGTTTGAAATATTCTTTGGACAGAATGAAATGAATGCAAGAATGTTTTCAAATACTTGAAATGGTTTTGTTCCAGAAATTGCAATGTGATTTTTGTAGATTTCATGTTATATGGGAACAGGCTAGCAATGAAGTATGAAGCTTCTGCTTTTTAAATGATTCAAAATTTTGTTCTGAATTATTCATAGTCTTTCATTTACCACGTGATACATTCCTATGGCTGATGCAATTGCTAAGGAAAAAAAGATTGACCCTGTACTTAATTTTGGAATAAGAACTGAAAAGAAAGGGGGAGGGCTGCAAAACAGGGAGAAAGAAGACACTGTGATAATCCTGGATGACTTCTTCATTTTTCATACATTGATGCAATTTCTACTTACTGCATAGTAATTTTGAACTAGACTTTTCTATTGTTCAAAATAAAATTATTATTCTCTTTCTAAAAATCCCTGGCAACAATTGCTCAAGTTCACTTCTCACAAACAGGATACTGTATAAGTCTATACAGAACGTTTTCTTCTGCTATCTAACCATGGGGCCATGTTCATCACCATGCTCTTTATGCTTAGCATGACTACATCCACAGTATATTATCTGAATCTCATTTCCTTCACCTCTTAAAAAAATCTTTCCACTTTGTCCTCTTTCTTGCCTACATTTTTTCCTATTGCCAACCCTATCTTTTCTCCAAATGTATTTCTTTTCCAACCCCTCTTTAATGTGTTTAACTCTGTTTCACTCTCTTTCCTAGCTTTTGGAGTTATTTTAGTTATTTCTTCCCTAGCTCACCTTTCCACTCTGACATCCTTACATCTATCTGTCTTTTCTGCATAAATCTCCTTCTTTCTTTCTTTCTTTCTTTCTTTCTTTCCTTCTTTCTTTCTTTCTTTCTTTCTTTCCTTCTTTCTTTCTTTCTTTCTTTCTTTCTTTCCTTCTTTCTTTCTTTCTTTCTTTCTTTCTTTCCTTCTTTCTTTCTTTCTTTCTTTCTTTCTTTCCTTCTTTCTTTCTTTCTTTCTTTCTTTCTTTTTCTTTCTTTCTTTCTTTCTTTCTTTCTCTCTTTCTCTCTCTCTCTCTCTCTTTCTTTCTTTCTTTCTTTCTTTTTCTTTCTTTCTTTCTTTCTTTCTTTCTTTTTCTTTCTTTCTTTCTTTCTCTCTTTCTCTCTCTCTCTCTCTCTTTCTTTCTTTCTTTCTTTCATTTTTTGGTGGGAAGGGGGGAATACACCAAAGTGATTAGGGAACACATACCCCTTTGCAAAGGTGAACTTGTGCTCCTAATTACTTGGGCTATTTCCATAAATCTCAGCTAGCTGTGCCTGGTTGTGTTCTGCAGTTTTCTGCACCCAGGGCTGAGCTGTTTGCATCTACAGTGCTTCATGGAGAGAGCCTTGCTGTTAGCCAGCACGTCCCTCACTGTGCCCAGACGCTGCTGTCCAAGAACCCAGCAGACTCATCCCAGACTGAAGTGAAAGTGTGCGCCAGCAGGCAGACAGCCTGGAGTGTCTTGAGTGCAAACTCAAACCTCAAATTAATGTGATGGCACGGATGTAGCCTGTCGGGCCTTTGACAATCCCACACCTTCTTTCTTGGCTGTCTTAACTTCTCATAGCTGCCTCTCTTTTCTCTCTCTCTTCCATGCCCAGCTCAGCGCTATTTGGAGCCATCCCCAGTTCTAAAGAGATTCACTCAGTAATCAAGTGGGACCACAAATACGAGTCACAATCTGTACCATTAGTTCCTGTTTGGCCACCTCCGTTTCCCCACTGATCTTCTGACGAACCAATCTGTTGGTGAGCAATACATCATCCTCATGTCAGCTGACGCAGCACTCTGCTGGACTCACTAGTCCATTCCCCATCCATGTAGGATGGACTGTAACATTCCTTCTTCAGCTCTGCCTCACAGGGTATTTTGTCTCACCTTGCACATCACATCCAGGGAGATTCAATGGCTTGTACCACCAATAACTACAAAGCTGCCAAGTTTTTCCTAAAGTTTAAGCTACGTTTCCTCTGCTATAATTGAGGCTTTTTATTCCTTGCCCTACCTTCACTGAATAAAGAGAACAAGCACACTGCATCCTTTGTAAAATCTCTTTTAACTTATTAGTAGGTAGCAGCTATGCCTTTCCCTCACCCACGCACCTTCACCCATGCTTTTGCTTTCAGGTTGACCACGTCTCCATCCTTCTAGTTCTCCTTTGGAAGTTTTATATTCCAAAACTCCTAAGCAAGCGCTGATCATACGTACAGCTCTCTTCTGAATTCCCTCCAGTTTCTCAGCCATGTCCCAGAAAATCTAGTCTGGCAGAAACGCCAAAAAATGACCTCTGACAAATGATGTTTACGGCATTTCACAAATCACCATTCCTGACTGTTGTGCAGCTGCACAACAGAGACAAACCCAAGAGAGGTTTCTTTAGAAAAGACAACAAACCAAGAAAAGCTTTAGAGAGAAAATGAAGTGGGAATATAAAGCAGAGAGAAGAAAGAGTCTCCAACTCATTATTTTCTTTGCCATTAGCACTGAGGGGGGAAATGGCAGAAATGGATGTGGGGAGCATAGGGATAGGAGAGTTGAGGGGACTGGAGGGCAGGAGGGAACCACTGGCAGAGCTGGTTTAGGTAAGCTTGCTTCCTACACTAACACTAGGTAATATATGGACTCCTAGGATTAAACCCATAAGACTTTGCACCTTACAGATATGAAAAAATTATTCAACAGAAACAGGGCAATGACACAGATCCACATTAGGCATCTAATCACGATGCCTAGTTTACGACATCTGCCCCCTTCCAGACTCAATGGAGAGAAACAGGTACTCTAAAAACTGCTCTCTGGGGCACCCCATCTCTCCCAGAAGCAGACTCATGAAGACCAGTCACCTCTGACAGTTGCCTAGAATTACCTACTGGCATTTCAGAATACACCTAACTATAGGTGCTTCACTTAATAAATGCATCCCTGAAGTTAAGTGTATGTGTACATACACTTCTGAAGACAGCATGTTCTTTTGTGTTTTGCTGAATGGACATGAGAAGCCTGTGAACATGTTACAAGACTCATAGGGAAAATTTTGGCAATAGATTGGATCAGATGACCAGGGATGCCTTCTCAGCTTCATTAATCCGTGAATACGTTTAAAGTTAAGTACGTGTACAAAGGCTTTGTTGAATCTGTCCCAACACCTTACTCCTGCAGAGGCTATCTGCTAACCAAGATGCTATTCAATATAGGGAGCAGAATTTGTTTCTGGATAATTTGCAAATACTCATGTCTGGAGTAGGGAAAAGTCTTCAGGACATCCCCTGATTCTACACAGTCCTTCTAATTATTTGTATGCTGCGACATCTCAAGGAATCCTGCCTTTTCAGACAGAATAAAGTTTATGATTTTAGTTCCATTTGTACTGGAGGAAGCCTGACCTTGGGTAAATATTTCACCACCTAAGAAAAGGTAAGGTCTGAGTGATTGCTGGTGAGACTGATCTTCACTGCTTCTCTGAATACTACAGAGTTGTCTCTACAGACCAGTCTTTGAATGAGGTACTTAAGAAAAACTATTTTTCTTGCCTGAAAGTGATTGTACCAAAGGACAGGGATCAAACAAACAAACAAACAAACGAACAAACAAAAGTTTGCAAGTGAAAGACAAGCAACTTTTCCTTCCATGAGAAAATGTTTGTTTTACACTACAGAATACAGATGGAACTGTGCCATATCCCCAATATACTCCTAGTTACCCATAAGGCACAAAGCAGAAACATTTCCAGCCAAGTGGTATTTAATGCATGTTTATTGCCTCTTTTCCTTGTTTAGACTTCTGAGAAAGTGTTTGGATGGGACTTGGAAAAAACAGATATCTAGATTCTCCCTCCCCACTCCCATTCTCACTCTCCTTTGCCTTCTTTTTAAGCGCACAAACAGACACACACACGCAGATCCTTCAAGTAGGCACACAACCCTATTTCCCACAAACTGGGTGCAAAGACAGACTCATGAGCAAAGGAAGTGTCTGCAGGAGCCTCCTGTTCAGGCGCTGGCAGCACACCCCGGTACATCTGCGAGGAACTGTTTTTGTTCTCAATCTCTGACCAATCCCAAGTCTCAAATCTGAGGCTGTATTACCCAAACCCGATAATCAAGCTGCCCTTTCAAAACATTCCCATTTGTGCTAT